CCAATATTATATCAAGTTGGATGTCAGGTGAGAATACAATAATGTGTGAATCAAGAAAGATAATGAGTGAAAGGCTGCTTTTCAGACTAATAGAAAACTATTCAAGCTGACAGTCATATTCTTTGGACTCACCAACTCTCCAGCAACCTTCTAATAGATGATAAATAACATCTTTAAAGATCTCATTGCCACCAGAAAGATTATTATATATCTTGACAATATTCTCATCATGTCACAAGACTGAGAAGAGCACTATCAGTTGGTCTGTCAGGTGCTCACACTAATGAGAAAGCATAAACTCTTCCTCAAAGCAGAGAAATATGTGTTTAAAGTTCTGAAAATAAAATATCTCAAGATAATCATCAGCAAAGAAAGTATACAGATGGATTCTATCAAGATAGCTGGAGTTACCAAATGGCCAGTACCAACAAAGAAGAAGGAGTTACAATCCCTCTTAGGATTCATGAACTTCTACTGACAATTCATTCAGGACTATAGCAAGATTATCTGACTTATGATGCAGCTTACTGACAATGCCCTCTGAAACTGGAGACAGTCACAATAAGCTATATTTGATGACCTCAAATGATGACTCACTAAGGATATCATTCTTGATATACCAATTCAGAAAGAAAAATTCAGAGTGGAAGCCAACTCCAGCAAGAGAGCAGTTGGTGCTATACTCTCACAGAAACAAGACAGAAAGTGGCATCCAGTGGTCTTTCTTTCTAAAGCATTTACAGTCACTGAGTGCAATTATAAATCTACAACAAAGAACTCCTGGCCATCATGCTTGCTCTAGTAGAGTGGTGATATTATCTAATTGGGGCAGTTCAGGTCTTTAAAATATAGATAGATCATCAAAATCTTCACTATTTCTGACTGCCTCAGAAGCTTAATCAATGACAAGCACAATGGGTGACAGAACTTTCTAAGTATAACTACATATTATATCATAAAATTAGAATAACAAACAAGAAGGCAGATTTACTCAGCTGATGAGCAGACTACAACCAAGAAGAGAATGACAATAATAGTATCATATTATTAAAGCCTGAGCATTTTTAGGCAATGATAATGCCAATAGAGGAAGAGATTCATGAGCAGATCAAAAGTGCAATATGTGACAACAGTAAATGGAACTAACAGGTGGCCCCATCATTGAACCACAAGCACAGAATAATAAAGGAAGGTAGAATGATTCAATATAATAGATGAATTTATATTCTGAGAGACCAACAACTTCATAGTGAAATCATTATCACATGCCATGATCACACAATAGTGGGACATCTGGAGATTGCCAAAACCAAAGAATTGGTACTCTGAAAATACTGGTGGCTAAAGATGTGGCAAGATATTGAACAATATGTGAAGAAGTGTAAAATATGCCAAAGGGGAAAATCAACAACTCAACTGCATGCTGCCCCTCTTCACTCTAACAAGATACCACAATCACCATGAACCCACATTTTGGTTAACATAATCACTGGATTACCTGATTGCAATAGTTATGATGCAATCATCATCATTATCAACTAGTTTTCTAAGGCAATTATTCCAGTCATATGCTCAACAGAATTGATATTGGAGAGATGAGCTAAGATTCTTTATGATGAAGTCTACACAAAATACAGAATACTACAGATCATGATCTCAGATCAGAGACCACAATTTGTCTCTAAATTTCTTGACAATCTCTACCAACTCCTAAACATCTGCCACAATACTTCCACTGCATACCACCCACAGATAGATAGCCAGACAGAACAAGTAAATCAGGAGATTGAGAAATATCTCTGACTGTTTATTAACTACTAGCAGGATGACTGAGTAGAATGGCTTGCTCTCACTGCCTTTCAATATAACAACCATGTCCACTCAGCCACTGGTAAAACCTCATTCTTCATCAACCATAGATGACATCTCAATGTCTTCCATACTGAATGCATCTATACAATGACTTTTGCATTCTCTGATTTCTCACACACTATGTTCAAAATTCATGAAGAAACCTGTATCACTCTTGAAAAAGCAGTATTCTTAATGAAAAAACAATATGACAAACACTATGCCCCTCTCACATCTATAATATTGCTGACAAGATTTGGTTAGACACCACTAACCTTTATCTTTCTCATCTCAAACAGAAACTCACTGATAAATGCACAGGCCCCTTCTTTATTATCACTAAAGTTGGCACTTCTATGTATAAGCTCTGCCTTTCTGTTGCTTGAAAAATTCATAATGTTTTTAATAAAGTCCTAATGGTCTATATAGCACTGGCATTTTTCAATCAGGAACAGCCCTTACCACCTGTGCTGAATCTAATCAATGATGAAGAATACTATGAAATCAACCAAATATTACACTGTCATCTTCATAAAGTCTGTGCACAGAGTGGAGGCTCAATAATAACAGTCAACTATCTTATCAGTTGGAAGGACTATAGCCCTGAATCTAACCAATAGATCAATGAGAAATGCATGAATGCTGCTGACACAATACACAACTATAAATTATCTCTGAATTAAACTATTAGGACAATAGTCTTAAGAAGGAGATAATATTACAATTTCTCCACTTTTTCTTTACTTTAACTCCTATTTATACTTAGTCAGGGCACCTAGATCAGCACTTAAGATCATGGGACCAGCTTAGTCATCACAACAAGCCAAGTCCATCATTGTCTTCTGATGCAATGATGCCTCTTGACAATGCTCAACAACTCTTTTGTAGATGGTAGCAATGCTCAAGGACAAAGAGCACAAAGACTCAGACAGACACAATTAGTAGTAGTATATTTATCTCAATGAATGGACAGTATATAAGTAGAATAGCTTTCACTGTATATCCTCAGCTTCAAGCTAAAGTTTATTTATCCACCATTCTATCTTAAGCCTTCTTGTAATGGTCTTGAGACACAAAGCCATATAAATGCATATAAGTGAACTTGGGCATGACTGTACAAATATGATACAGTGCTCATTTATCATATGTTCAGGTCATATGTTGCTTGAGCTTAACAAGGCAGCTGTGCAAAGAGAGAGTTCTGGTGAGGCTGCTGAAGCTGGTGGTGTTGAGGCCAGGCTTGTATCCAGTGCTTTGAGAGATTCTAGAGGAATCTCATGATGAGATATGAACTTGCCATTCTTCTGGTAAGTGGCAAAGCCTTTGGAGTTAATAACACAAGTGTACATTGATGAAGCAATAGTGTCTAAAAGTGACAGCTGATGCTCAAAGGCTATCAAACTAATCAAGAACTGGTGTGAAAAGCAAAGCTGATACTCAAAGACAATCAAGCTGCAATGAGATGATGATGATGATGATGATGATGATGATGATGATGAAAGAACATGAGGGGAGTTATAGGGATGTGCTTGTTTATATGAGTGAGCTGAGTGGCACAAATCAGTAATATAATGGCAGACTTGTCACAAAGGATAATGGCTGGCTCATGGCATAGACTTCAATCAAAGGTCTTTGACTGATTCAATTGCTTGAATTCTCTCACAGATTCCTACAGTCCTGTATACTGATTCAATGTCCAAAATGCAATAGCAGTGTTTAGATAGTAGCAAACATACACACTTAACTCCAGTATCCTCTGGAGACTGTCAACCACCTGTGCCTTTTAACTTGTTCAAAGTACACAGTATTTTTGATCATCAATTCCTCTTTCCAAAATGGCCACTCAGATTTCTCTCCTTCTTCTCTCTGCCACTGCTTCAGAGATATATTGAACATGATGTCAATCTTGCTCAGTTCCATCTTTAATAGAATTCTATCAAGCTCTGCCCACTTGTCTGGACTCCCAGATGTGCCAATCAGATAGTACTCTAATTTGAGCTCCTTTAAGCATCCACCTTGGGCTTTATGTAGCAGGTGTACAAGCCAATCTGTTAGCTCATCACATGCTTTGCATGCAGCCACTACATCCCTGCACCAGTGGGAGGTCACAAGCAAATGAAGCCTAGTAACATTTTGGATATCTAAAACAGGTATTCTTTGCTGGAAGGCTCCTATAAGAAATAACTCATCAAGGTGTATATAAGGAATCATATTATATTGTCAGATGTTCTGCTCTACCTTGTAAAGTGGATAGGTAAGCCATCAAATATGAGGTGGCATGAGGAGAAGCAGAAGGAGGCACCTGATGGTATACATATCCAAGAGCCTTCTGGGCTGAGGTAATCACTAATTCTTCAAGGTCAAGAGAAACTTCAGATGATGAAGATGTCTGTTCAGCAATTTCTATGTTGCATAGCACTAGCTTCTTTAGTTTGTGGAATCTGCTAAGGAAGATGAAGATTCATCACAGAACATTACATCATTTCCAATTCCTCAACTTCAGGCCAGATGATATTAATGCTGACTAGTTCTATCTTGACAAGATACAAGGACATCAAGTTCTTTATCATTCTAAAGACAATAGGCAGCTGTGGTTCATAGATGACCCATCTACAAGAGAGGTCTATGAACTGAAGAGCACTTTCACTCAAGGTAAGACTCCTTACAAGTGGTGCCACATTTTGGCACTTTTCTGAGAAAGTTGCACAGCAATTGAATGACAAAGGTGGGAGTAAATCAAAGTGTATGGTGCAGAATAGTTGATAGTGGTTGCAGTGAAAGAGTTGGCAAGAGGACAATGTGCAAGCCCTAAGAGAGTGGACATCATCAGAAAGAGTGTCAACTATTTGATCCATGAGTTCTGGCAGTAATCTAAGTGTCAAAACTGTAGGTTGTAGGGTAGATTGTGAGGTACTCATGGTGGTCATGGACAAAGTTCAAGGCAGGGACTTTGAGGTCTCTCTCTTTATAAATACCATGACCGAGACTTTTAATTCCTAATTTACTTATGAGACAAAAGTTTCATGTGATAAAGTGCACTCTAGACATCCGAGAGTTTGACATTTGATTGATAAGAATCCACAAGATTCATGTCCACTCTGGTATACGTCGCTAACATTAGTAGCACGCTCCACATCTTCTATCGAACCTCACAAGAAAGTGTACCCCTTGCCTCTCGAGAAATCAACCCCGTCCTTCAACTGTTCCAATGTTAAGAAGATGAGGACCGTTGTCGGTTGCAGACGAGTCCAAGCTGGCAACCAGCCCTTGAACATGAACATTGGACCCTCATTCTTCAAGGAAGCCTTGATGACACCAAGAGCAAACTAAACACAAAAAATCAGATTAGCCAGAACAAGAAGATCGAAAGGCTTATATTCGATCCTGATCCTGATGCGTTCATGATGCGACTCTAACAATGTGTCCTGTCAGGGCCGGTTGCGCGAATCGACAAGAGTATAAGCCTTTAATATGTCAGCGGGAGAGCAGACGATCGTCGCGACGGTACCCTATATAGTTTTAGCACACGGAACGCACAAAGTAAAGGTCTACGAACAGCAGCAAAGCTCGCCGTGAAATGGCAAAGAATGTTGTCGTGGAAATACGATGTCTTCAAGAGCTCAGCCTTGAAGAAATCATATCCGATGACATGTTTAAAGACTGTGTGGCGTGAGCAAAAATTTACCCGTACGAAACAAGCTGACTGGCGTTCATCAGAACGGAATGAAACATGTTGGGTCCCACTCCACGAGCAAGAAAGGAAACACCCTCTTCACGGACCATCTAACAGAATCCGATAAGTTGATCGTGGACGAGAGATTACGAGCAGTTTTACCCTAAACAGTGCATGGATACCGTGCTTGTAGTTGAATCTCTTCGCCGATGGTTTCGCGAAATCTCCCCGGAGACGCACCATGACGATCTCTAAAAACAGGATAAAGACGCGTGCACCTCGGGACATGACGTGTAACACGTACCTCCAGGATTTCCAACGAAACCAGCAAGACCACCAGCTAGAACGACGTAAGGTGTCTGCGACTGTCAACGAATAATTTTAAGGTCCACACCCATTGAGCCGGCGAGCGCCAACTTGTACGCTGTCATACATTCGGGACAAATGCTCCTGTCCGACCTTTATTCTCGCTGGCGGTGACCCTTATCTTTCTGTCCTTGTTGTTGTCTGGATCGGTCGATTCATCGTCCAGCGACTCACCGACCTCATGTGGGTTGGCGAAGCCACGACCTGAGAAGATGCTCCACTTGTATCGCCTCCCACGGATCTCCATGTCCCTCCGCCACTCTTCATCGAACGCTCGACTCTTTCTACGACGATATCGTAACCCGAACGGACCTCGAGCTGATTCCCGACCAACCCCACCCCCCGGTACTTCCCCTACCCCGATAACACGACTCCCAGACCAGAACCGAGTTCGAGTATCTTCGGGAGTGGTTCTACCCAATGTTATCTTCTTTGCGCAGACCATGTCCGAGTCGGGACTCCAACCCGCGGAAGCTTATTGTCAAGTTCGTTGACCGCTATGATGTTGATGCCCATACGTGTCTCGTTGCACACCCCAAGCTGCTCTTTTGCGGCCTCTTCAATGGCGTCGAAAGTGCTGCGGGGGGTGGCGCCAGTAGTAAATGCGGTGGATGGTATGTGGGCCCCTTGCGCATGCTCGTCATGGGAATACATCCTCGACGGGGGAAGCAACGCCCATTCGACTCCTCTGGATGCCTGGCCGGCTGATGCGTATAGTCAGATCAGGGCAACAGTCGCACGACTTCATTGCCAAGGGTTGGAGACTTGCGTCGGCCTAATGTTATCTTTTACTACTCGCGACTCGAAGGTGATGCTCATAGATTTCGACTGGGCGGGTAAGGAGGGTGAGGTGCGGTATCCCAGGGGCTCAACCTTGAACGTCGGCAGTTCTCAACAGTCAAGTGCCTTGTCTGTCACGGTCGCGACGTTGTGTACCATAACTTAGAGCATGTCTTCTCAGTAAGGCGTAATCATTTTCTCGCGAGACCTAGCGACCATCGAAACGAAAGGATACTCTTGGCCAGGGACACGAAGAAGGCAGGTTGGACAATATACTTGCGTCAGACATAATTTATATGGTTTTTTTATGGGCCATGACCAATTTGCTGAAGTCAGCACAAGTGGTCGACATTCCGGCGTACGAACATGACTGAGGTCGCTACAGAAGCTCGAGATGAATCTCAAGTACCTGTGATTGGTGAGATCAGCTTGAAACACAGTTACGAGCAAGACGCACCGAATTCTGCATGAAAGATATATCGCCCTATATATTCTGCGGATGCAACGGCGTCCCTGATTCGTCTGGTTTACCAAGAAAACAGGGCTAGCATTGTTGCCGACGCCAGACTGGAGGACATGGAAGTGCCAGTCACCTTACCTCAGCATGAACCTCGACAGACAAAGGACAGGATATATTTTATATCCACAAGGTAGACTTGAATAATAACCCAATTGAAACGTGCGAGTCGTCGGACTGACGAAGCGGTGAAAGCTAGTCTGACAGACCTTTATTTCGCCAGTGAAGGAGAGATGACGAATACAATAAGGTGTCGTCCTAAGAGAAGCATACGCGAAAAGGGTTGAGGTCGTCGTGGTCGATGAAGAAGAGTTGTTTGGCCCACGGCGGCAACAAACAAATCCCGCGTTCTCTTTTGCCATCACTGTCAAAGTTCAACATCCATTGAAAAGGTGGTAGGCGTACCTGTTCATCTATCTTTGCGAATGCCAATAGCGTGCTGTTGATGACAAATAGGTCTCCATTTCTGTCTTGGTCCAGCGCTACGTTCTGCTTTTCTTACGCAGATCCTCCATCAGCCCACCTTTCTGTCTCAGGCAGAGCACATCCAACTAGACATACTCTGCTCCCAGATTGAGCATCTCGATCCGAACATGATCTAGGGTGGTGTCTTTGGGGATGGGTACAGGCCATTGATATCCATTGATAGGGGTTGACACATCCTTACGATGATCTTCTTCATTCATCCACGAATCTGATATTTCCCATGGCCATTGTCGGACAACCCACCACGACACCACCCAATTACTATACAGATCCCAAATGCACCAAGGGGGCACATGCATGTCAATGATTCTGTCTCTGAAAAGTACATCTTGTAGCATCTTTTCATACCACACTTCACGATTAGGTAAATCATTTACCATAGCAGTCAAGCCCTTGTACCAAAATGGGCGGAGACGGGCGTATGCAGTGCCAAGTCATAGCCTTTCAGTCTTCGAGAACGGAGTGTACCCCTTTCGTGCGCAGATCGTGCAATGTGCTAAGGGTGGTGTTGAGCTTCTTCAAGAGTCCCTGAATGCCGAGGTCGGCGCAGAGTGTCGGCGAGAGCGGATGATATGATAGGCTTCTTGCCGGTGAAGGACCATTGCCTTGGCACTGGAGTGGATGCATGTTGGCCTGTCCCAGTAGGAGAGTGTGTGACCTCGGCGAAACGGTAATACTTGAGGTGGGTGTACATTATTTAGTGCCCTTCTCTTCATGTTTCACACACTTACTCATTCTTCGTTGTTGCGTGCATGTGGAAAAATGTCATTTTCATAATGATCCCACCATTTGGCCTGATCCATTTTGAGTATTCCTAGTCATAGCCAGAATAAGAGCATGGAATATTAGAAATAACACAACTATACATACTATTGGGAGTTCAGGACGTCGATGGGGTGTGGTACTAAGGTGTGGTTGTATCGAGGCTGTACCCAAAGGATTAGGCGCCTTGTGCTGGTGGTGAGCAGCAAATCTCGGATGAAGGATAGGGCCGGTGCTATCAACACATATCAAGTCAGCCGCTCTCGTCACAAGATAGACACTCAGGAATCCCGTTAAGGGCAACTGTGTAAACCCTTCCATGACGGGCTTGCTTATTCCATCAACGACGGCAAGCCTTATGTTCGGGACCTTCCTCTGATCCAGGGAGGGCTCCGTCTTGAACGCGATGTAGCTCGCCAATGGAGTTGCCTCAAATCGTTCAGATGTTCCCGCAAACGACTGTACCCAGAGGCGATTCCCAAGATATCCGGAGGCGGCAGAATCATGAGTACTGTAGTTTAGAATAGAACTGATCGCCTAGATTATCGGCAATGATCAGAGTGGTGAGATAATTGGGCGTGTCCGAATCGATGAGTCTTGCTCCTGGTTGCCATCAAAGATAGTCTTGATGACGACGAAGAGTGAACTTTCTCGACGACGGTTGGGATAATTAAGTATATTGACACTGCTAGGGCAGGAAAAGTAAGAATTAAACAGCCATAAAATCAAAGAAGAAAAAGTCGGTTCGAGGAAATTTCCGTGCCTCCCCCCAAAAAATACGTTAGTCCACCAACAATCAGAGCTCGTGGGTCGTGATCTCCTCGACCTGTCTCTGCTGCTCGAACGGGAGGGTCCTTTTCCTGTTCATGCTACAGACAAACGTAGTCTCCCATTGAAAGAGATCCAATGGGAAACCAAGGCTTGCCGTTGTAAGTCCGCCATGCCCAAAAAATGGCGTGAGCCTCGAAGGCTCGTGAAAACTATGTAAGTAAACCTAACCCTATGGACTTACCTTCAAACGACGACGCGCTGGAATAGAAGGACATCAGCGCCAGAAGAACCAGAAGGAAATGGCGCACCATATGCAAAGACCATCGAAATCCCTCTCGGGACACGACTCGACGTCAAACACCACACCGAGGACATTATCCAAGGTGGCTATTTTAGCTGCAACGCGTCAAAGGGAACGGTGCCGGGTCGACGGCGTCGAGTCCGGCCTTCCGCATCTTGAAGCTCGATTATTCCTCAGGAGTGATTGATCCTAAACCAGTTTCAATGAAAAAAGTGATTTGAAAGACAAAAATGTACCAAGGACATTGCTAGGGTGCATGACGCAAATCAAAGTTCATAGACTGGAAGAACGGTTAGCCCAACACGTTAACACAAGGATTTGGCGACATACTTTGTAGCACCACCCTTCCGCACAGGGGAACGACCGCAAAAGGATATAAACAGCATTAACTGGATAATCAAGCTTCAGTACACGAGACTAAAAAGGATGGAAATTTTAACATCCATACATCTTGTGGGCGCAATTCATTCTCTAGACAATCCTGCGCGCAATGTGGTCAGCAAAAGACGTCGATGCACAGACTTGACAACATACCTCGGACCCGATCAACATCTCTCGGGCACCTAGCCACACATCATGCAAGCACCTCCTCCCCCGGTTGTGATCCCAGCCGAAATACTCGCTAGTTATACCACCGAGCTTCTCCGGAAGGATGTGGTGCTCTTATGGGTAGAGGAGTCGCAAAGAGCTCAGGGTGTTGGTGGATGTATAGATGAAGTGGAACGTGATCGAGGATACGATGATCAACCTCCCCGCATCGTGCGTCAATGCCAGCTCCTTCTCCACGACAGCTGGCGACATACCAGCTCCATCGTTCCATGCATCTTAACACGGTACATCGTGTCGGCGCAAAGTTTGACCTGCCCTGCTGGGAGTCAATGAAGCCCGCGGTGGGATACGGAAGATGGCATTTGAACCCGAAATCCGAATATGATTTAGGGCCCTTCATGGGTGGATTTATCCTCTCCTTCAAATCCTTCCACCACCCAACACCGTCCATGTGCCTTACTGTCTCGTACCCATGGGCACCGAAAGGATCCAAAAATCGCCTCAAAATATTGGCGTGGACTCGCCGTATTCGTGAAGCAGACACATGTCGCAAGGAGAAAGAAAGATAGGGCCTGGAAGAAGAAAGGCTCTTAGCGCGCGGATTGATTGAACGATGAACACCTTACCAAAAACCTACTCCTTATTCTTGCGTGTAACGAAACAATCCTTCGACGCGACTACAGCCCATATCTCCTGCAATCTCGCTCGCCGGAACGTGATACGTTGTCTTGGAGCAATTTTGGTCCCACATACCGAGGCTGAAGCTGATGTCGACAAGGAAAACCGGTTCCGGCCTGGAAGAAGATACAAAATACTCAGGTCAGGACCCAGACAAGAAATCAGAATGCCTACTTTGCATTGTTGACCCAAAGCTGCCGCAAAAATCGGAAGCCCTGACCTATGTTGGATTGATATGTGACTGTCGTAACATCAATTAGTCGACGCTTGTACGGACGAAAACATTTCGAGCAACGAAAGGCAAGACCACGTTCCAAGGAAGCGCTTGTCGTGTTTGATACCGCTTCATCATCGGTCACTGGATATATTTATAAGCCATCTGATTTTGACTTGAAAAAGGTCTGACCTTCGGGTCCGTACGGGATACCAGCGCGAATGATGTGATGCGCTGTGTCCTCCGGCGTGAAATCCCCTCGGGGTTGTGTCTTCCTGGTATGGGCGGCAAAGGGACACCTAGTCTGGTCAGTGCTACTTTCATCGTCTTCGTGGGAGGTGAAGTTGTTGTTCCTCATAGGATCTGTCACCAGCGTAGGGTCACCGAACAACGGCGCAAGATCAACGGGTACTCCCTGTAAGCATAAATGAGTCTTCACACGAGAATACCATGAAATACATACACTCTTCCATCATCCGAGCATACGAGCTCCCAACAAGGCGGATCCCCCCTCGGGAGTGGCGCACCGAGAGGGAGTTGAATTTTGGTTCGCCGAGGTCTTGTACCAAGTACTCTCTTATCAACACGGCGTCTGATACGCAACAGCGTAACGAATATGAAGGTTAGGCGTCGATGCCGTTGACGACAGCCCAAAAAGAAGAGCCATTAACGTGAGTGAATAGGGTGAACGCTGTAATACTGTCCATTAGAATAACAGCAATGGTGTACAGACAGGCTCACTCATTGATTCCTTCATCTCCGTCGTCCCCCCTGTAAAAGGGTAGAACATAGATGTACCGTCAACTTGAACATGAAATCCCGGCCGCCGGAAGGAAATGAGAACAGTAGTGCATTGGGCGGGTAAGCGATTGGTGTGGTGAACGCTAGCGGTGAGATAAACAGTTGACGGACGTGAAAGGAAGGCGCTTGAGCGAGCCGTCGTCCAAGATACGCGAAAAGAGGCGGTCGTGGTCGTGGTCAATGACGAACAGTTGTTTGGACCGACGACGTCAACAAACAAGACCATGTTCCTTCCTTCCTTCCACCGTCATGTCTCCACAATGCTCTGCCGTGGACCTTCTTCACATCGTGGTTGTTGCCAGTGCTCGTTGAGATACCGGTCCAGCTTGTCATCGGCGACAACAGAGGATTCTAGCATGGAGTTTCTTCAACTTGGTGAGCTATATTTCATGGCTTTTTCTCGACGCTGACTTTCTTTTCCAGTGATTCATCATTAAAAATGTCGGCAGTCTATCTTCAGCGACATCTGAGCATTCATTCGAGATTATGGCGTCCTTTTTTCTGCGACGGGACCTTTGGAGATCGACAAGGGTACCTCCGTGGCTGCGATGAGAGCGTCGCAATATAACACGTTACGCGATGGTATAGCAACGAGGCTCTGCTTTTAGCCAACTTGGTTCCGAGAACATGTCGATGAAGAGCCACAACTAGGGGGCTAGTCGTGCTTCCACAGCTCTTCCTCATTCCTGGCTCGGCCTAGCTTCAGTACCTTGGCGCCCAGCGGCCCCAAACCTGTTTTTGGTTGTGAATTCTCTGGTCTACGCCAGTCATACGCGGATTCACCTCATCCCAGATGGCGGCGGTGAACATCTGGAGATAGCGTATGCGTTGGTCCAGTCGTTTTGTGGACGTTCATGTCGTCGGTTCTAGATCTGGACAATGGATAGGTGTTGGCTATATTTTCGCATGGAAATTTCCCGTGCGTATCTGTTCTTCTACACGTCTCCTTCAACAGCTGATTGTCGTAGCACGGTCTTTTGCCCCTCCATGGAACCCCGGATGACTCTGTTTCTACTCAATCATTCTCGGCTTCTTAAATTTTCGTGACCGATAAACGACGTGCATGGCGACGTTGGTGGGTTGCTACGAATCTTTGAAGAAATATGTCACCGTATCTGCTTTACCAGGACCGGATACCTGCTCACCGAGTTATATGGAAGACAGAGCGAGCGGCGCCCCCAGGTCAATGTTTTGATGTGCATCGCCTCGCGATTCCGGTTCGCTCGGTCGAGAATGTATAGAGCATGAGACCGTGATTGGGACCTTCCGTTATTCCAGTGCGTCCCCTGTCTCTCATCTTTTTTTCTCATTCTAATATTCGCAGAAGATTGACATCGATGGCTGAAGGATTCATAACTTTCAACTATCAAGGCGAAGAGTACCAGACATGGTACAAAGTTATGGGCAACTTCGACAGCTGTACGCGCACACCCTTGGTTGTGGCGCACGGCGGGCCAGGTCAGTCATATTTAGTACTTGCCGAAATGCCTGTCTCACCGATAACTAGGTCTATCCCACGACTATCTCCTCCCTCTCTCTGACCTGGCCACCAAATTTTCCGTCCCAGTTATCTTCTACGACCAAATCGGAAACTCCCGTTCGACACATCTCCAATCAAAGCTACCGTCGTTTTGGACCATTGATCTGTTCATCAACGAATTGATCAACCTTCTCGAGCACTTCCACATCCAGGACCGGTTTGACTTGCTCGGCCATTCATGGGGCGGGATACTCGGTCTAGAGTTCGAAGTGCGCAAGCAGCCAGAGGGATTGCGCCACTTGGTGTTGACCAGCTCGTCGGCTGATATGGGGATGTGGAACGCGTCGACTGGAGAGCTCAGTAAGGCCTTTCCGGACGATGTACAAAACGGACTGGCTGTCGGCGTGGCGGATATGGAAGTGTACGGCCAGGCGCTCAAGGCATTCCACAAGAAGCATGGATGTCTCATGGACCCGTGGCCGGAAGAGCTGGTATACTCGATGGACCAATCAACGAGTCCATCGGCAGATATCTCCGCTGCAGTGGGGATGTACGTGGCGCATATTTCTCACTGCTTTCTATATGCTGACGGTCTGCCTATAGGTTCACCGGAGAGCTTCGTACGTGGAGTATCGTCGATCGTCTTGACCGCGTTCGTGTTCCGACGTTTGTGATCAACGGACGAGCAGATATAGCTCAGGACTTTGTCGTCGAGCCTCTGTTCAGAGGTATTCGGCAAGTCAAGTGGGTAACGATGGAGAAATCGAGTCATACCCCGATGTGGGAGGAGCGGGAGAGATATATGGATCTCGTTAACGGATTCTTGTCTACATAATCCATCTATATATCCGCTTTCGTTTCCGCTTTCGTTTCATGCTGGGCCGCAAAAATGACTCCTCCCCAAGTGACCAATGTGGACACTGAAGTCGGACCATGCAGTCCCGTCTCTGAGCAAAGTCCTGGGCCCGCCGGTGCAAGATATCAACCTCGAAAGGAAGGCAGAGAGCGGCGTTGAGTGGTATGCTCCGACTATGAGAGACTTGCTAACTGCCCAACTTTTCGTTGACGATTCATCAGTCAATCAAAAAATTGCTTGTAGTCTCTGCTTTCTTTCAATTGTACCAGGCTGACGATGACATTTCCAGCTAGGTTGGGATAGACGAAAGACCGTCCGCCATACCGTAGTACGGAATATAAACTTTTATGATAGTTATTACTTCGGCGACAAAAGAGGTCGTACCGATGGAAGTACGTTGGTTCATTATGAGACGGAGACCACTGACGACCGGCGTAGGAGTCGATCGTACTAGCAAAGGGGTAATCTACCTTGCTCTACGAGACATTTGCAGTGTCTGCACTCAATAGACCATCATCTCCAGCTCAGAACTGAATTTTGACAGTTGTTCGAATATGCAAAGGCATAAAAGAAAAGACCATCAGATACATAGACTATTCTACTGGACCGTATGAAGCAAGGGAATTGGTCGGTGGTATCTGAGTCAACAGTCAAATGAGACTGAGACGAGACCTTGACTCAGTCCGATCCGTTGCATTGCTTAAAAGCATGCGCATTATACAGCTGTCGTTAAAACTTCCCCTTCACTGTTACACTCACTATGGCTGATTCCGTTCAGTTACTAGATGTCAAATCTGAATGGGAACTGACAGTAACATCGATTCTTCATAGGAGGAGGCCATTACTGGATGTTGATCTACCTCGGATTGAAAAGGATATTGCTGCATATGAACAGGAGATCCCTACTCTACAGATGCAAATCACCTCTTTGATGCACCAAAAAGAACAATTGGAGCATTCACTTTCCAGATGCAAAACACTGCTGTCACCTGTCTTTCATCTTCCATGGGATGTTCTGTTGGAGATATTCTCCTGAGCCATGCACCCTGTCAAGAACAGCCTCAATGTCACTAGTGGCTTGTGGCCTCATTGTGAAACCCCTATTCTCCTGATGCCCAATGGAGATCTTGGCCCACCACTTTCATCATTCTGCACAACACCCATTGTGGGTAGCAATAAGGGGTCATCATAACAGTTTCTACTCTGCTCAATGCTCTGACTATGCTGATCATATCTTTGATATGGTCCTCAAAAAGTCTATGCACTGGAAAATGATGGACATGCATGTGCAACCAGAATACCTGAAGCAACTCTCTTTACTTTCAGGGAACACCCTTTTGCCAGTTCTGGAGGAGTTTCACCTCTCTTCCACAACAAGAGAAGTGGGCATCAGCATTGAGGTGTTGTCCTCACTGCCACTTCTTCAATGTGCCTATCTCTCCTGCCTATTTGAGATCTCTGACAAGCCTTTCAATGCAAGCTCCCTGACACATTTCTCAGCAAAGCTGCACCATTTGGCAGACATCTGGTACATCACTCAGATGTCCACACTCATCGAATGTCATATCCACCTTCCAAAACACTCCACTAATCTGGATAGACCTATGGTTCCCAGAAATATCTTACCAGTTCAAATAGAACAACTCAAGTTCTTAATGGTCAATGATGCAAACATACTTGATGTTATTACTACACCATCGTTGAGAGTATTCAAATATCTCTCAGACATCACATTGGACACATTGGACGAAAATGAAATCGATCGTGAGAGTCATTCTCTTCAGGCTTTTCTAGCACGATCAGCTTGCTCTCTCAAATATTTGGGTGTCGGGCCAGCGCTTTTTGAAAAGATTAGCCATCTCAAAGCATATAACAATGTCGACTCACTCTCCATATCATTTGAAGGGAACGATCATACCGCATCGCTGTTAGACCAGTTGGCCATACCCGGAACCCTTTGTGCTTTGAAACGATTGAGCCTCAGTGTCAATGCTGGTATTTATTGGGGACAAAAATATGGTAAAAGGGTTCTCGATGTCGTGCGCCTACGGTTTAACAAGGAGCAGGCTGTAGCTTTGGGTGTCACAAAGCTATCCCTCCTGGATATAATGTGTGCTGATTGCGAGATCATCAATCAGCTGAATGACCAAGGGCTTGGCATGCTTCGGGAGGAAGGTTTTGGGTGGCACGACAGATACACTTTACCTAAGGGAAGACAATTTCTGGACTGGGTGGTGGTTGAGCAGTGACCATGCACTACGAGTAAGTGAAAATCTTGAAATATGGAGATATGTATGACTTACGATGATTGAAGGGTCTGGAATTACATTTGAAGTAAACCTAGTATCGTTTGCATAGAACGAGCGCTAGCAGATATTTTATTGTTCCTGATTTCGACTGGGGTATGTGATCTGAGAGCACACAAGTTTCGAGTTTCCGTGTACTGATGTGGGCACAAAGACGGCGGGCGGGGGATCTATGGAAAGACTGTCGACAGTCAGACCTGGAACCGTGACGAACGGCGTGAGGCTCTGAATGGCAAAAGCCAACAAGGTGAACTGTGGCGACGACAATGCAAGACGAAAAGAGACGGCACATCGACGCGCTTTCGGAAACCAAGACCTTTCCCGGCAAAGTTCTTTCGCTGATTCAACGACATGCATCTTCCCAAGTTTGTAGCTGTCAGTCTACTGTGGGCGGGACATCAATTCAACTGGATTCCTTCCTCGGTTGGAAAGAGCTGCATTAGCAATGCTTAAGGTCGGCATTTCGAATACGACAAATCCTCTGACTGAGATCTCTCCTTCCCCATTGCATTCGCTCGATCAGCTCGTCGATGTCTGCGACAAAATTATTCAGCTACATTAAACCAAAAACCGTAAGGATGAGGTACCTTTGAGAAACAACGATCGCCAATCCCCGGTAGAGTTTCCGGGTTCATCGACGACAATCTGAAAGCGAATTTGGCAAGGCTTCCGGAGTCTGTAACCCGGTGGCATCTCCTCGTTTACGCTGTTGATAGCATCGTCGACCGATAGGTACTCCTGCGTCGATGGGGAGATAATGATGTCTTTGAAACGTGGGGTATTGAGGCTGGCGGGGTTGGTGTGCTTCCAGAGCTGAACTAGAAGTCGGGATAAGCAATAGCGAGGAGAGGAAGTCAAGAATATGTCATTCACGGATGTTCTCGGCGTGGAATAGTTGCGCGAGGTGGGTTTTCAAGTCCTGAGTGAGGTCGAGCCTGGGTGGCAGAGAGCTGCGGTTGAAGGCGCCCTTGTTTTGGTTCTGGAGGACGTACGATAAGCTCATCGCGAAATAAAGAGAGGATAAGGAGAGTACTGGGATTTGTGTCTTGGTTTATGAAGGGAACTCTTGGTTTGTATGCAGAAACCATTGTGAGAAACTATTGTTCAGCGGGAGAGAACAAAGGCCTTAACATTGGTGTTCCACAATGCAATTGGAAGATTTTGTCACCCCTAGGTATCCCGTCCGTATCGTGAGATGTAGCCTCGGTGGAGACGATTATTGGGAAGTGGGAATGAGGGAGCCCATAGCAAATAATAGGAACAAAAACTATCCAACGGCACGCGGATTAACTTGATTGCTTTTCTTCTTCTCTTCAAGTTCGAACCGTTCAAGAACAAAGGATGCAACGGTGTTTGACGTAACTGTTCTTGGATACCGTAAACTAATACATACCGCGGGAGTTCGATTATGGGGACTACTGTGAATAGTAGTAGATCTACGAACGTTAAAGGACTTGTAAGCATGCTCAGCCCCATAAATCTTGCTATGAATCAGTAAAAACACGAACATATTGAACTCGATAACCATCATCATGAAGGGGAAAGCACTTACTTCCGAGTTCATAATCGGGTTCAGTTGCGCACCTGTCTCACCCGAATCCGAATATCTCTCTCCAAAACGTTTCATCTAAAGACTGGTCAGCCCAGAAACAACAAAGAGTCGCTTAGGTACGTTAAAATTACCATTATACCACCAAGTAACACCCAAAAGCCTGCCCAGGATCCTAAGAGCTACGAGTGCCGGTGTACTGGTATCCGTCAAATTCACTGCAAATTAATAGTCTTGTCGGGCCCAAAACGCCATGATATCCGTCCCTTCTGAGTCGCCCTAGTTTTCTGATCCCGACGTGAGACGGCAACACGTGGAAGAAAGAAATATGAATTGCAACTTACCTGACATGTGCAGCTAAGTTGACATAAAGTTGTCGTGTTCCTGAATTCCCAAACATTTTAACTTGTGGTCTTCGAGGTCCAGAGAGTGCTAGTGAATAGTCAAGCACTGAAATAGCCGCGCGCGCGAAAAAGAACTTCGAATGTGCATTTCGGCTGAACATTACTTAGACATGTGCTGACTACGAGAAATTGTCAGAAATATCTAGTGCAGAAGAAGAGAACATAGTCTGCTCACAAAATGAACGTTCGATCGAAGGAAAGGAACTGTACAAAATGTCAAGTGATGGTCCGTGCGAGAACCAACACGCCGTTGTGCCGGCCCGGGACGCGTACACGCGACGCGGTATTTGAATATATTTGGCAACCCTTCCAACACCCATACCACCACCATCGATGGCCCGCAAGGCTGCTGCGGAGGCAATAACCACTGAGCCGCGACGCTCAACCCGGATATTATCCCAGCCTGCACCCAAAGCCAAGAGAAAAGCTGATGGTGAAGGCGGTAGAGCTAAAAAGAAGGTATATCAGTTTACCCCTTATCGTCAGGGCATCACTGACCTTGAGCTCCTGCTTAGACGAAAAAGGTGGCAGAAGATATGGAAGAATCAGCACAAGAAAAGGCCGAGCAGCTCCAAATAGGCTCTTCGCTCGCTGGACTGTCGATAACCCTTCCGAACCAAAAAGGCGAGGATGTAGAGATTGGAATGATTGCCAGCGAACGGGGCGTGGTGCTCTTCCTGGTGCCCAGGGCTGATACTCGTGCGTTACTTGTGGTTGCACCTGTACTCATCGCTGATTGATACCGGTCCCCTTTATTGCCGACCTCTTAGCCGGCTGCACGCAGCAAGCTTGCGCTTATCGAGATGCATACGACAAGTTCACCGAGGCGGGATACGACGTGTATTGTCTGAGTGCCGATGAAGAAGGGAAGCAGGGTAAATGGAAGGATAAGGTTTGTCCGTCTTAGCCTTCTCGTTCTCCGCCGATCTCACATAGATTTTCAGAAAACTCTACCTTATGACCTTCTCTCCGACCCCAAGCGAGTGTTCATCTCTGCACTCGGCGCCGGCACCACGAAGACAGCACGAAGCCACTTTGTATTCGCAAAGGGCGGAGTTATGATTGACAAGCGTATGCCAGTCAAGCCTGCGGAAAGGTTCGACATCGTTGATTTTATCCGAAAGAACCTTCTGATTAACTTGAGGTATCTAGTTTCAAACTGGCCTTGGACGCTATCCAGAAAGAATCTGAGAAGGGTGACGGGGGCACCAAGGAGGAGAAGGATGATAAAAAGGACGAAGGAGATGATGAAGCATAGCTTGGGAAGAAGGTATTATTTTAGTGTATCTATTCGTTGATTTTCTTTGTTGTGCTTTCGAATCAGATTTTTATCGGTCTTATACTGGGTGATCGGAGAGCATCAAGGTTACTACTCAGGAGCCAGAGATACTGACATTTGCGGTGATAACTGCACGTTCCCACACTCTGGTCCATTGAAGTGCAGACGAACGACGACTGCGAGCCCCTAGAACTTGATTGGGCAAAAAGCCAGGTTGCAAAGATCGAGTCCTGTGTAAAGCAGGACTCGGAAACTCGAAACTTGTGTGCTCTCAGATCACATACCCCAGTCGAAATCAGGAACAATAAAATATCTGCTAGCGCTCGTTCTATGCAAACGATACTAGGTTTACTTCAAATGTAATTCCAGACCCTTCAATCATCGTAAGTCATACATATCTCCATATTTCAAGATTTTCACTTACTCGTAGTGCATGGTCACTGCTCAACCACCACCCAGTCCAGAAATTGTCTTCCCTTAGGTAAAGTGTATCTGTCGTGCCACCCAAAACCTTCCTCCCGAAGCATGCCAAGCCCTTGGTCATTCAGCTGATTGATGATCTCGCAATCAGCACACATTATATCCAGGAGGGATAGCTTTGTGACACCCAAAGCTACAGCCTGCTCCTTGTTAAACCGTAGGCGCACGACATCGAGAACCCTTTTACCATATTTTTGTCCCCAATAAATACCAGCATTGACACTGAGGCTCAATCGTTTCAAAGCACAAAGGGTTCCGGGTATGGCCAACTGGTCTAACAGCGATGCGGTATGATCGTTCCCTTCAAATGATATGGAGAGTGAGTCGACATTGTTATATGCTTTGAGATGGCTAATCTTTTCAAAAAGCGCTGGCCCGACACCCAAATATTTGAGAGAGCAAGCTGATCGTGCTAGAAAAGCCTGAAGAGAATGACTCTCACGATCGATTTCATTTTCGTCCAATGTGTCCAATGTGATGTCTGAGAGATATTTGAATACTCTCAACGATGGTGTAGTAATAACATCAAGTATGTTTGCATCATTGACCATTAAGAACTTGAGTTGTTCTATTTGAACTGGTAAGATATTTCTGGGAACCATAGGTCTATCCAGATTAGTGGAGTGTTTTGGAAGGTGGATATGACATTCGATGAGTGTGGACATCTGAGTGATGTACCAGATGTCTGCCAAATGGTGCAGCTTTGCTGAGAAATGTGTCAGGGAGCTTGCATTGAAAGGCTTGTCAGAGATCTCAAATAGGCAGGAGAGATAGGCACATTGAAGAAGTGGCAGTGAGGACAACACCTCAATGCTGATGCCCACTTCTCTTGTTGTGGAAGAGAGGTGAAACTCCTCCAGAACTGGCAAAAGGGTGTTCCCTGAAAGTAAAGAGAGTTGCTTCAGGTATTCTGGTTGCACATGCATGTCCATCATTTTCCAGTGCATAGACTTTTTGAGGACCATATCAAAGATATGATCAGCATAGTCAGAGCATTGAGCAGAGTAGAAACTGTTATGATGACCCCTTATTGCTACCCACAATGGGTGTTGTGCAGAATGATGAAAGTGGTGGGCCAAGATCTCCATTGGGCATCAGGAGAATAGGGGTTTCACAATGAGGCCACAAGCCACTAGTGACATTGAGGCTGTTCTTGACAGGGTGCATGGCTCAGGAGAATATCTCCAACAGAACATCCCATGGAAGATGAAAGACAGGTGACAGCAGTGTTTTGCATCTGGAAAGTGAATGCTCCAATTGTTCTTTTTGGTGCATCAAAGAGGTGATTTGCATCTGTAGAGTAGGGATCTCCTGTTCATATGCAGCAATATCCTTTTCAATCCGAGGTAGATCAACATCCAGTAATGGCCTCCTCCTATGAAGAATCGATGTTACTGTCAGTTCCCATTCAGATTTGACATCTAGTAACTGAACGGAATCAGCCATAGTGAGTGTAACAGTGAAGGGGAAGTTTTAACGACAGCTGTATAATGCGCATGCTTTTAAGCAATGCAACGGATCGGACTGAGTCAAGGTCTCGTCTCAGTCTCATTTGACTGTTGACTCAGATACCACCGACCAATTCCCTTGCTTCATACGGTCCAGTAGAATAGTCTATGTATCTGATGGTCTTTTCTTTTATGCCTTTGCATATTCGAACAACTGTCAAAATTCAGTTCTGAGCTGGAGATGATGGTCTATTGAGTGCAGACACTGCAAATGTCTCGTAGAGCAAGGTAGATTACCCCTTTGCTAGTACGATCGACTCCTACGCCGGTCGTCAGTGGTCTCCGTCTCATAATGAACCAACGTACTTCCATCGGTACGACCTCTTTTGTCGCCGAAGTAATAACTATCATAAAAGTTTATATTCCGTACTACGGTATGGCGGACGGTCTTTCGTCTATCCCAACCTAGCTGGAAATGTCATCGTCAGCCTGGTACAATTGAAAGAAAGCAGAGACTACAAGCAATTTTTTGATTGACTGATGAATCGTCAACGAAAAGTTGGGCAGTTAGCAAGTCTCTCATAGTCGGAGCATACCACTCAACGCCGCTCTCTGCCTTCCTTTCGAGGTTGATATCTTGCACCGGCGGGCCCAGGACTTTGCTCAGAGACGGGACTGCATGGTCCGACTTCAGTGTCCACATTGGTCACTTGGGGAGGAGTCATTTTTGCGGCCCAGCATGAAACGAAAGCGGAAACGAAAGCGGATATATAGATGGATTATGTAGACAAGAATCCGTTAACGAGATCCATATATCTCTCCCGCTCCTCCCACATCGGGGTATGACTCGATTTCTCCATCGTTACCCACTTGACTTGCCGAATACCTCTGAACAGAGGCTCGACGACAAAGTCCTGAGCTATATCTGCTCGTCCGTTGATCACAAACGTCGGAACACGAACGCGGTCAAGACGATCGACGATACTCCACGTACGAAGCTCTCCGGTGAACCTATAGGCAGACCGTCAGCATATAGAAAGCAGTGAGAAATATGCGCCACGTACATCCCCACTGCAGCGGAGATATCTGCCGATGGACTCGTTGATTGGTCCATCGAGTATACCAGCTCTTCCGGCCACGGGTCCATGAGACATCCATGCTTCTTGTGGAATGCCTTGAGCGCCTGGCCGTACACTTCCATATCCGCCACGCCGACAGCCAGTCCGTTTTGTACATCGTCCGGAAAGGCCTTACTGAGCTCTCCAGTCGACGCGTTCCACATCCCCATATCAGCCGACGAGCTGGTCAACACCAAGTGGCGCAATCCCTCTGGCTGCTTGCGCACTTCGAACTCTAGACCGAGTATCCCGCCCCATGAATGGCCGAGCAAGTCAAACCGGTCCTGGATGTGGAAGTGCTCGAGAAGGTTGATCAATTCGTTGATGAACAGATCAATGGTCCAAAACGACGGTAGCTTTGATTGGAGATGTGTCGAACGGGAGTTTCCGATTTGGTCGTAGAAGATAACTGGGACGGAAAATTTGGTGGCCAGGTCAGAGAGAGGGAGGAGATAGTCGTGGGATAGACCTAGTTATCGGTGAGACAGGCATTTCGGCAAGTACTAAATATGACTGACCTGGCCCGCCGTGCGCCACAACCAAGGGTGTGCGCGTACAGCTGTCGAAGTTGCCCATAACTTTGTACCATGTCTGGTACTCTTCGCCTTGATAGTTGAAAGTTATGAATCCTTCAGCCATCGATGTCAATCTTCTGCGAATATTAGAATGAGAAAAAAAGATGAGAGACAGGGGACGCACTGGAATAACGGAAGGTCCCAATCACGGTCTCATGCTCTATACATTCTCGACCGAGCGAACCGGAATCGCGAGGCGATGCACATCAAAACATTGACCTGGGGGCGCCGCTCGCTCTGTCTTCCATATAACTCGGTGAGCAGGTATCCGGTCCTGGTAAAGCAGATACGGTGACATATTTCTTCAAAGATTCGTAGCAACCCACCAACGTCGCCATGCACGTCGTTTATCGGTCACGAAAATTTAAGAAGCCGAGAATGATTGAGTAGAAACAGAGTCATCCGGGGTTCCATGGAGGGGCAAAAGACCGTGCTACGACAATCAGCTGTTGAAGGAGACGTGTAGAAGAACAGATACGCACGGGAAATTTCCATGCGAAAATATAGCCAACACCTATCCATTGTCCAGATCTAGAACCGACGACATGAACGTCCACAAAACGACTGGACCAACGCATACGCTATCTCCAGATGTTCACCGCCGCCATCTGGGATGAGGTGAATCCGCGTATGACTGGCGTAGACCAGAGAATTCACAACCAAAAACAGGTTTGGGGCCGCTGGGCGCCAAGGTACTGAAGCTAGGCCGAGCCAGGAATGAGGAAGAGCTGTGGAAGCACGACTAGCCCCCTAGTTGTGGCTCTTCATCGACATGTTCTCGGAACCAAGTTGGCTAAAAGCAGAGCCTCGTTGCTATACCATCGCGTAACGTGTTATATTGCGACGCTCTCATCGCAGCCACGGAGGTACCCTTGTCGATCTCCAAAGGTCCCGTCGCAGAAAAAAGGACGCCATAATCTCGAATGAATGCTCAGATGTCGCTGAAGATAGACTGCCGACATTTTTAATGATGAATCACTGGAAAAGAAAGTCAGCGTCGAGAAAAAGCCATGAAATATAGCTCACCAAGTTGAAGAAACTCCATGCTAGAATCCTCTGTTGTCGCCGATGACAAGCTGGACCGGTATCTCAACGAGCACTGGCAACAACCACGATGTGAAGAAGGTCCACGGCAGAGCATTGTGGAGACATGACGGTGGAAGGAAGGAAGGAACATGGTCTTGTTTGTTGACGTCGTCGGTCCAAACAACTGTTCGTCATTGACCACGACCACGACCGCCTCTTTTCGCGTATCTTGGACGACGGCTCGCTCAAGCGCCTTCCTTTCACGTCCGTCAACTGTTTATCTCACCGCTAGCGTTCACCACACCAATCGCTTACCCGCCCAATGCACTACTGTTCTCATTTCCTTCCGGCGGCCGGGATTTCATGTTCAAGTTGACGGTACATCTATGTTCTACCCTTTTACAGGGGGGACGACGGAGATGAAGGAATCAATGAGTGAGCCTGTCTGTACACCATTGCTGTTATTCTAATGGACAGTATTACAGCGTTCACCCTATTCACTCACGTTAATGGCTCTTCTTTTTGGGCTGTCGTCAACGGCATCGACGCCTAACCTTCATATTCGTTACGCTGTTGCGTATCAGACGCCGTGTTGATAAGAGAGTACTTGGTACAAGACCTCGGCGAACCAAAATTCAACTCCCTCTCGGTGCGCC